TGAGCATCCCTATTTCATTTTTAATGATTTAAAATGGATTCTACTATTCACTCCTTATTCTTTCTCTCTCTATTCTCTTTCTTCTATCTCATTAGAGATAAAAATAAGAATCATACATTAAAAAATGTAGTAAAACCATTAATAAAAATAAGCCTTTTTAACACTAGAATGTGTCAATAAAAGCAATCCATTGAAATGACTAAAATATGTTGACACTAACTAAAATAGCTAATAGGCCTCATTTAAATTTGGAACCTTAATATGACCTCCAAGATTCTATTCATTGATATTTATATAACCATATACACATGTTGATTGATATATATATATATATATAGAGAGTGTGTGATTTGACACCAAGAGACCATAAGTGAACATTTGGATGCCATTGTTGCCAAGGGATGCAGCAGCGAGCTCAATGTTGTCGAGGTGGCCGGAGAAGATCTGGATGGAGGTTGATATGCCGAAGCTCACCACACATACAAAAATTGCCGGAGCAATGACTTTAAACATAAGCTTCAATTCTATCCAAGTAGCGCTTCGAAGGCGGTGAAACAACTGTACTTCTTTGTCGGACAATATATATATATAATTTTTTTTTATCAGCGAAAAGAAGACTTTATTGATGAAACACATACAAAGTATGATGAATTACATCAATAAGGAGGAGCTTGGAGCTTTGACAAGCTCCAACCTCCTAGTTTGTGAGAGACTAACAAACAGAGTAAAAACAAAGAAAAACCAGCAAGCAGACCATTGCTGAGCATGAGCAAAAACTTCACAATAGCCATGAGCAAACCAGAAGAGCATTTCACCCATGAGTTACAGCCACTACTAAGCAATCCAATCCTACATGCTACCATGAATTCCATTCAAATTAACCAAACATTTCAAAACAACAAACAACCCTCATTCAATAGCCCTACTTAACAACCCCTTCTGAGATTGGTTGCTCAACTTCATGTTGCTCTCTGATGATGATTGAATTGATAAAGTTGGTGGTGGTGATTGAGATTGCAGCAAAGGAGGGTCCAGATGATCAACTCTGTGGTGATCCCATCTAGGATGTTGTTGTCCAGTCGTAGGTATGGTGCAAGGTTCTAAATTGCGGTATCGGGTAATGTAACGGTATCGATCGCGGAGTATCGATATTGGTAGTATTAATCGGTACGTATCGGGAATCGGGTGTCGCGGCGCTGAAATTTTAAAAATCATTTTACAGGTTTTTCAGCTTTTTCTTTCCCGTACCGGTCCGAACCGATGAGTATCGGCCCGTCGCGGCTTGTGTAACAGCTTGTGTAACGGTTACAGGCCGATACGTACTAGGACTCGACCGATACTCTTGCGATTTTCAATCTCAGCGATATACCGGTCTATATCTGTCGCGGCACCCCATTTTTCCAATACATATCGGCTGATACGTAACGTGTCGGCCAGTATTTAGAACCATGGTATGGTGTGGTTGTGGTAGCCGATTTTGGAAATGTAATGAGTTGAGTAATGGTGTTGGTGAATATGAAGTTGAGGGTACTTAAAAATTTGAAGGACACCCAAAGTAACATTCTGGGAACAAATATTGATCAATTCTGAAAGGGGTAATTATTAGTAATTTCGGAGTATAAATATGTGGTATTTTATAATATTTTGATTGATAAAGAAGGTGAGTAAGTGTGGTATTGTGTTGAGTAATTAGAAAATATGAAAGGACATATTAAATAATGATTGATTAACAAATACCGACACATAATATTCTGGGAACATTCTATAATTTCTCTTCTGAAAAGTGGATACCTAATTAATCTATCTTTAACCCCTTTTGAAATTATGATTCCAATGAACAAAATTTAAAACTTATAATCAAATATACAATTCAAAACTCAATTCAAAAATTATTTTCAAAACTCATAATCAAACACACAATTCAAAACTCTTTTCAAAACTCTATTTTAAAAAAATCAAAAAACTATTTTTTTTTTTTTTAAATCATGATTTGAGTGTGAAATTGTGTTTTGAATTATGAGTTTTGAGTTGAGTTTTGAAAAGAAAATTTATTTGGTTATGAGTTTTGAAAAAAAATAAATAAATAAAATTTTGAATTGTATTTTGAGTTTTGACTTGTATTTTGAAATTTTTTGAATTTATTTTTTTTAATATTTAAAAAATTTCTTAATTTTATTTTTTTAGGGTAAATATTTTATATTTTAAATATTTATTTATTTATTTTAATGTACATTATATTTCATACATTTGTGTGCTGTATTTTTTTTAAAATTAAAAAAATTATTTTGTTATTTTAAATATATAATTTTTATTTTAAATATTTTATTTTATTTTTTAAATATTTTAATTTTTTGTTTTATGTTTGGTTACGATTTGAGTGTGGAGTTTTGAAAGTAGTGTGAAGTTTCGTCTTATGTGCTTAGCTATTAGCTTTAAAAATAATTTTTGCATTAAGTTTTGAGTTATGTATTTAGTTACGATTTGAGTGTAAAGTTGTATTTTGAGTTTGAAATATTAAAATTAAAATATTTACAAAATAAAATAAAATTTTTAAATAAAAAAATATTTAAATAAAAATAATCTATTTAAAATAAAAAATAAATTTTCCTTAAACATTTTTTAATATTTTTAAAAAATCCAAAAAATTTTAAGATATAACTCAAAATTCAATTCAAAAATTGTTTTCAAATTTTTTTTTAAATTTTTTTTTCAAAACTTATAACCAAACAAATCTTCTCTTTCAAAACTTAACCCATAACTTCACACTTAAATCACTACTCCACACTCAAATTATAATTTCAAAACTAAACCAAGCGGAGCATATACACTTCTAAGTAATCATGCACTGACCAAAGGTGAGAAAGCAAAAGTAACCACTTTTGTTTGATTTGAATTACAAAAATTATTTTTATTTTTATTTTTTATTTTTTATTTTTTATTTTTTTGTGTTTTTATGACTTCTGAGAGAGTTCTTATATTTTATTTTGTTTTTCTATCAAAAAAATAAAAATAAAAACAAAACAAAAAAGCATTTTGTTGCTCCTAGACTGTTACAATATCTAAGACAGAGAAAAAGAAAATATTATATTATATGTACATTTAATATTGTATTGAATAATTATATAACGATGTATACAAACCTATGTATGGTAATCCTAAATATTGTAACAACAATGATTCATCTCACTAAAAATACCACCACTAATAGCACTAATGTATTAAAAAAGTAAAAAAAAAAAAATACAACTCCAAGACCAAAACATCACATCATTAATGGCGGGACTCACTGCCACCTAATTAGTGGGAGCACTAATTAGTGCTCCCAAGCATTTTTCATATTGTAATGGATAATATGGTATGTATGATAGACAGAATATATTGTTACTATATTTAACATCTCCCTTCAAACTCAAGTAGTGATACCAACTTGAGTTTGGAGAGAGAAACTAAAATATGAAATAAAATAAAAGGTAAATAAATTGTGAAGTCTGAACGGGAGTACAGGGGCACTTGAGATAGATCAGAGGTCACAACTAATGTCGAGAACCAATTTATGGTGTTGGACCGTTGTAGGAACTGGCTGGAACTAATGCCAAGATAGTTTAAGGTCGTGTCGGACCGTTGAAGAAGAATTGGATGTTGAACCAGAAAACGTGGCACACACGTGACTTATGACGTGATGCTGAATGGTGATCGCAATAGATGACATTGTGCGCCAGGGGGTGACTTATGAGAAAGTGTGCCAGGGGGCGGCTTGGATTGTGTACCAGAGGGGGCAACTTGGGTAGCGCGTGACGACTTATGAGAAAATGCGCCAAGGGGTGGCTTGGGTTACGCCAAGGGGGGCTGCTTGAATTGTGCACCAAAGGGGACGACCTAGATAGTGCGCCTCTTGGCGTACAACCCAAGCTACCCCTTGGCACACTAGAGGGGGTGACTTGGATAGTGCACCAGAGGGGGCGGCTTGAATGATTCGTATCGTATATCACCATGCTCACCATGATATAAACGATAGGAATGGTTGGCGAAAAATTCAATTAGCTAAAACCACCCTTCAAAACATTAGTGATTTAGACACAAGAAGGCAGGGGCTTGGACATTATTATTATTACTTGATTTTTTTTTTTGGAGGGAGTGTTCGCAGGTTGGCATTTTTTTTTAAAATCAACAATAACATTGATGCAAATCAACTTGCAATGATTACAATTAGATTAAATTAATGAAAAAAAGTGGCCGAGGTGAAAATGTATCATGAGTTAGAAAACATATCTCAACCACATTGGCATATGGAGCGCCAAAACCCACCGAAAAATAGAAAGCAAAAGAGGAAATCTAACCTGGCAATCAAAAAAAAAAAAAACAAAGAAATAATAACATCTCCATTCTTCCCAGAACAGAAAAAACAATACAAGCATAGCCAAAAGCCATGCCACCCAAGGGAGTCTACATATGGCACTTGATCAAAGGCACTCCCCTAAAGTAAATAAGCAGCAATTAGCAATTAATAAAAGACCAAGATCATCAACATTATAGAAATGGCACTAAATCTATCGATTAATAAAATTAAAAAAAAAAGACCAAGATCATGATGAACATCAGTAAACGCTGTGAAGCAGCAGTGAAGTTCATCATTTGAAAAATCTGAGACTCAACAATCTTTGATGTTTGGTTTTCCCAAAATTTAATTTAAGAAAAAAGCAACTCTAATCTTGACCAAGTCAACAGAGTATTGGGGAGGAACTAACAATGTGACCAAAAAAACAAGGTGACTAACAGAACAAAATAAGAGCACAACTCATGTGCCCTAAGCTAATTAGTTGGAGCATGCCTCTCTCTTTTTTTAATGCTTCTATCTTGGTTCCTAATGAGGTTAGTGATGTGGCACATGCCTTGATGCTTTGATGCTTCTATCTTGAGGTTACGCGTTTTAGTGGTGTATGCGGTTTGGTTGAGTCGGGATTCGTGAGAAAAAGTCTAAGAATAATAATAGTTGATAAATGTACCTCGACTCTTATACCAATTCATTGTCCAATGTTATAGTCACTACATACAATTAAACATACAGAATAGCTATTTCACATCTATTGGCAAGAAAGTCTTTTATCCAATCACTCATGTTCTTTCAAGGACAAATCCACACAGGTGTGTTTGAATTTTAAATTTGAATAAAAATTTGTGAAGTAAAAAAAGAAAAGGGAAAGCAAAACTGACAAAAAAATTAGTTTCTATTTTTATCTCCTTTTCTTTGCATTTCCTTCCACTTTACAAATTCTTACTCAAATCAATCATCCAAACAGTCTTAAAAGCAAAAATTTGAAGAGCCTTTGAAAATGAATTTTACTTGTCATTCCACTTTTCCAACCTCTTCCTAGCTTTTTCCACCTGCAATATATTCAAACTAATTTTTAATTTAAAATAATTATAATTTTGCTTTCCTATTTTATAGCCATCAGATTTATAATGAAAATCTTCACAAACATGTAATGGAGAGGATCAAAATCCGCATGTCGAATGATTGGCTTTTTATATTATGCGCATGGTGTAAGAAATTTGTAAAAAGGTCAAGACAAATATGAAGGAGCACCTCTTTCTTCCAATCCGTTCGACAAGTCACCCATACCAAAATCATGGTTTGCATCAGTGTGCCCCCTATCATCCCTGACCATATTCCCTACAAACACCACACATAGTTATTTGAAAATGTATTGTCACTCTTTATGTAAACAATAAGTCTAGGGACATAAAAGTGTAATAAAAAAATTTGCTCTCCACTCTTGGACCCTTCCATCGAATATGTAATATTATATTTATTTTTTTGTGTTTAGTTTTGTATCTCAAAACTTATTGTACTAACAAAAAAATCGAGCATATATGCAACTACAAGAATAGAAGAAAGCACATGAGTTATCGAGTAGCCAACCTTAGCACCCAATTTGAAGTGAAATCCAAGTAGTGAACCCAGTGGGATCCCAACTACATAATAACAGCTGACATTCACGTATGCAACGAAAGCTTGCCATCCACACCCCACAGCAACTCCTACATTCCTCTCGTGTCACATTAAAGTTAGAAGATGAAATAAAAGTGAAGTCGTTTATAAGTGAATCTGAATGATTATGGTCATGTTTGATTCACAAATAGGAAGCAAGAGAAGACTCTTTTATCTAGAAATAAATTATAAAGTGCTGGATTCAGATTTTATGACCCGTTATAACTTATTCTGATAGCTCTTTTATCCTGCATAAATGGAACTATTTTGTCCCGAAATAGGTGGGATAACTTATCCCAATATAAGACTTTTGTTACAAAATGACTAAAATACTCTCTTCAGGACAAAATATTACAGAGGACCGGGGAGGACACACAGAAAAAGCAGAGAAATAGGGAGAAAAGATGCCAATGAACCAATTTGCAAAACAAACACCATAAACCAAAACAAAACCCTTTCATGATGCTTTTATAAAGACATAAAATTCTCTCGAATTCAACTGCAGAAATGGAAAATGCTTTGATTTAAGTTTTGAAGCAAAGCTTACCAGACAAGACGGGTTGGATTCCATTAAGGATAAGAGAGAAGGCAAGAAGTGGACAAAGTTCTGATACAGCTTTGGCCACAGTTTCACCATCCGTGAAGGCATAACTAATGACATTGCGCAATGCAAGGACAACAATTGCTGCTATCAAACAGAGTATGAAAGAGACTAAGTTCACCACTACTACTGAAAATGCTGCTGACTTGTTATGTCCGGCTCCAAGCTCGTTGCTCACCCTCACACTGCTAAGCATATATATATATATATATATCATCAACATAAATATTTGTATTACATGTAACTTCTAATAGCATTGTCATTCAATGTCTTTTCTCTCATTTAAATTAAAAAGTGGATTTAAATACAGCCTTGAATTCTACCGATGACATTACTTACAGTTAATCATGGTATCTTGGTTGTGATTCTTTTGTGAAATTGAGTTGCGAAAAATAAAAAATAATTGTGAAAAAAATAACTCCCAAATATTTTGTGGATTTGATGGCCTTGTATGTATCAAAGACTAAGAAGAAAAGTTTGAGAATTAATATCGATAATTATAATTAGGAGTGTAAAAAGGGCCCGCAGCTCGTGGGCAGCCTGAAACCCGCCCACGACCCCAGGTGGGCCCAGGCCCGGGCCCGAGCCCAGCCCAAGCCCCTGGGCCATCAATTTGAAGCCTGGCCCGTGGCTTGTGGTGTAGTCTATCGGCCCGCTTAAGGCCTACTCAAAGCCCAGCCCGATGCCCCGCCTGTCCGATACCCAGTGACTTTTTTAGTGAAAAATAATAAAATTTTGGTAAAAAAAATTAAAAAAACAAAAAAAAAATGGTCAAGCTCGGCCTAAGCCCGAGGCCAGACCCAAGCTCACTGGGCCAGCCCACCCAAGGCCCAATTATCCCTGGGCCCGGGCCTAATTTTTTGGCCCGTGGACTAGCACGGCCAACCTTGAATTTTGGCAAGAGGCCGCGAGACCTGACATGGGCCGGGCCAGGCCAGATTTACACCCTCTAATTATCATATTTTAACAAACAAATTAATGAATAAATTGAATGTATGGCTAACCTTGCCGCTGCATTGAACCCAATTGGGATCACCATTATGCATCCCCCAATTAGCATGCTGCAGTTAAAACCAAGTAAACAATTATAGAAAAGCACATCACTTTCAAGCAATTATTTTTTCTAAGCAATGATATACAAATAATTTTTTTAAAATTTTTTTAGAAATTTTAAAAAAAATACTAAAAATCTTACATAATATTCATACGATTGAGTCCCATATGATGTGGGTCTCACACTCATATGAATATTGTGTAAAAATCTTGACATTTTTTTAGAATTCCTAGCATTGCTCAATTTGTTTGTGTAGAGTGACTGACTTTTTACAGTACCTTCATTACCAAAAATACCCAACATTATCATCATAAGCTAAGTTGGCATGTTTTACTAATAAATTTTTTTGTAAATAATTACTCTTATTTTTTATATAACTTTCATATTTACAAATCACTTTCTATATATAAAAAATATGATAGGAACTTCTTCTTACCAGATGGAAAGAGAATCCAGAGCCAACTTAGGATTATGAAGCAACCCAGCTAGAAGAAGAATAATTTGATAATACCATGACTCCAAACATATCATCACTGCCGACGCAGCCGACAATTTAAAGAACTCCATAAGCCCAGAAAAGGCCTGAAAACTAAACCCAGACCAAGTGCGCTTACATCTGGGGCTTCTCACTATATAAAAAAACTGACCCACAACAATAATCCACCACGACAAGCTCAACACCAACCCAGCACCCAACAAACCAAGCCCAACCTTGTACAGAAAAACCCACGTTAACACGAGGTGTACCACAAATGTGGCACCTGAAATGAGTGCACACGGTAACACTATGCTCTGAGCTTGAAGAAACTTTTGTATGGGGAAATTTACGGCGTATGCGTAGATTTGGGGGATGAGGCCGTGGACAAACAAGGCTGCAGCTGAAGCGATTTCGTTGGATTGGCCAAGGAGTTTGAGCATGGGCTTGGTGAAAATGTAGATGAGTGTGATGAAGATGCCGGTTATAGAGAGAAGGATGGTTGATCTTTGGAAATATATGCCCAGCATTTCGTATTTCTGGGCTCCGTATGCTTGTCCGCATAGTGTTTCTACTGCACTTCCCATCCCCATCTGTTCATTCATTGCTAGCATGGATTAATTGCAAATTTTACGAATTTTTTCATTCACTGACGTCGCATGTAATAGTAAAATTTTACTATCGAAAGAATAATCAATTGCAATAATATGATAGATGTCAATATGATACTAGTAATCGAATTTAATAAAATTTGAGACAAATTATACTTGTGATATTTGTAGTTTGTTTCTTGTGTTAGTTTGGCTTATATAATTTCAATGGTATCAATTTTATGTTTTGACATTTCATATTGTGTCACTTTACTTCTATTCATAACATCTATTAAAAATTGAATTAAAAAATCATTAATAAAAGGAATGCATCCCTTATTTAACTTATTATTAAAAGATGAAATTGGTTTTCAGTGGAGCAGTGAGAAAAAAAAATTACATTTTTATGATGACACAACTCTTCTATGTGTATTGGGCAAATTTATTTATGTGCTTTGTACAACTCTTTCTACATGTCAAAATTATATAATAAAAAATAAAAAAAAATCCATTTATAATATAATTTTTTTTTTCCACTACTCCATATATTTGCAATTTTCCCTTGTTAAAACCGTCACAAATAAAATATCCTCCTTATCCAAGCCTGCAATAAAATGTCTAAAAGCATTGCAAAATAAAACCGTGATTGTCCCATAGGCCCAATAATAAAAGACTAATAGTCTCATTATCTAAGGCCCATCAAAAATATTCCTTCTCCAAAAATCTGTTTAATTTTTTATTATTATTATTATTATTATAAGTCCCAATAACAGAGGTTGAATAAAAGTTATTACTCAGATATCTCCAATAATGAAGGTAGTACAGCCATTTAACTACAAGAATAAATATGCAAGAAAAGTTTTACAAAAATAAATAAATATAAAAATTAATGAGAAAATTTTCATTAGACTATGCATGAGAAAAAAAGTGGAGTGAAATAGAATGTCTATTTCAATCTAACTGTTCGGTTGCAAGTAAATTGTAATAACCCACATTCATGTCCTAGTTATATTTGCTTGCATTTATATGTTTTGCTGTAACAACCCATATTCATGTTGTAGTCATGTTCATGTTCATTTACATAACTTTGTCTTGTTAAGTTTGCATTCATGAATCTTGTCTTGTCTTGTTTGCTTAAGTGTTGTGTACATGCTTTGTTCCTTCCTTGGTGTCTCAAGCCTAAATTATGTTAAGCCTAGGTTATGTCAAGCCTAGGTCATGTTAAGCCTAGATCATTCCGAGCCGAGGTCATCTTCAGTCTAGAATTATCTTGGAACCACTTTGTTTGACCTCCACCTTTGCCCCGACATATTGGCCGAGATGTCATTATCTAGGCTGAGGTGTTCATCACCAAGGCCGAGATGTGTATTATCTAGGCCGAGATGTTACCTTTGCACCTTAGTGATCTTGTCCTGGAGTGGTATGACCTAGACCGAGGTGTGGCAAATCTAGGCCAAGGTGTGGCACAGCTTAGTCGAGTGTTATCCTTCCTAGCCGAGGTCATTGTCACCTTAGTTGCCGAAGCTTTGTCCTTAGCCGATGTCATCACTTGCCGGAGTGCCTTACCGAGTAGCTTGTTAGATACACTTTGTCATAGTCTTGTCTTGTCAATCTATCACCTTTTTTAGGAGAGCCAACCAGTCGTTGCCACGTATCCAAGCTGAGTGTTAAGTCAGCCGATAGAGAGAGAAAACCTATCATTTCCATATCTTTGTTTGGAGAGGAGAGAGAAGCTCTAGAAGAGGGAGAAGAGTTCTTGAGAGGAAGTAAATTTCCAAGCTTGATCCCTAGAGATCGAACCGTTAGATCTGTGTTCTAAGGTTAGATTCTTGATCTGCTCTTGTCATCCTTCATGTTCATGTTATTGCATTGCATGATTGAATATGATTTGTAAGCCATGGATTGTTTTGAAGTTCGGTTTTAGAAAGAGAAAATAGCATTCATGTGTTCTTCAAGAAAAGTCATGTTTTGATCCGAAAGCTCATGCCAAAATCCATGTTTTTGTGTTTGTTTTCACATGATCTTCAAGTATGGGTACCCAGGTCCATGTTTTCGAACCCATAGCATGAAATCCCAGATTTTTGTAATAAAGAAGTTATGCTTTTGGCATCCATGTTCTTCATGATCTTCATGTTCATGTTTTTCATGTTCTTCACGGGTGGAAACCCAGATCTCCAGACCTCACTTCCCGAGGTGTAGTCGCCGAAATCACTCTTACCTAGACCTCACACTTAGGCCAAGCATCGTATCTCACCTTGGCCTACCTTGCATGATCACTTACACCTTTAGTTTGTCTTGTGCGCATCTCGGCATGCAGCCTCACGCCGAAGCCCAAGTAGCCACACCTCGGCCAGGAGGTGTAGGACCTCGGCTTAGACCTGGTTGGTACCCAGCATGTCTTCCTGACATGTAAAACAGTGTTTTGACTTCTAACATGTTTTCCCGAGATCATTTGCATGCATGTAAGACTTGTTTTGAGAAGTGCATTCAGTATGCTTTGCCATGTATTTGTAGGACTTGGACTTGCCTTGACCCCGACGTCCCTAGATCTATGTGAGTGGTATTTTTAATAAAGTTATGTCATAAAGATTTGATAAAGCCTTGTTTCGCTTTGATAAAAGTATTTAATCAAGTATGAATGATTACCCCTATTTTTATATATCAAATAAGCTTTGTTTTGATGACATTTTGAGAGTCCTTAGTGCCACGGGACTATAATGCAACTGCACATCTTGTTTTAAGAGTCCTTAGTGCTAGGGGACTATAATGCAACTGCACATCTTGTTTTGAGAGTCCTTAGTGCCAGGGGACTATAATGCAACTGCACATCTTGTTTTGAGGGTCCTTAGTACCAAGGGACTATAATGCAACTGCACATCTTGTTTTGAAAGTCCTTAGTGTTAGGGGACTATAATGCAACTACACATCTTGTTTTGAGGGTCCTTCCGTGCTAGGGGACTTTAAGCCTAGGTAGCACCGTCCTTTCGTGCTAGGGGACGTTAAGCCTAGGTAGCACCCTTGTTAAGATATCGGCCACCGACGGACTATGAACGGGTGTGCTCGATGCCGAAGTTATGCTTTTGTTTTGAAAGACCAAGGTTCGATTAATGTTTTGTTTCAAGTCAAGTTAAGCTATGTTATGTATGGTTTTGATAAAGATATACTATGATATGTATGTTTTGAAAAGACCTCGGGAATCATTCATTTAACCCCTTTATTACTTGTACCATTCACTGAGTATCCAAGCTCACCCTCCCTATGTATATATGTAGGTAACAAGTAAGAAGTCGGCTACGCCGAGATGTGTGTTTTGCATGTATGTTATGTCGGCAGTGAGGATGTCGGCAATCTGGAAGATTATGTTTCTTGATTTGTATTTCATGTATTTTGTTTTATGTCGGCTTGTGAAGCCCTTTTGTTAAGATGTAATATGTATTTCTGTACTTTACTTTAATTGTATTCAAGTTGTAAAACTATGTAAAGATGTATGCCATTCCATTTGACTTATGCACTGCTCTTATGGACCACTTGTATTTTAGATTATTGCTTCCGTACTTGTGAGCCCCATATATTTATACTCTGATTGTGTGTGAATTTTGAAAGTTGGCCTTCGGTAATCTCGGATTACTGGCCATCACGGCACCAAACTACTAGGGGCGGTTTGGGGTCGTGACACAACCGCAACACAGAAACTCGTGACCAGAATCACAGCGAGAAAGACGTCGGTCAGGATGACAACGTACCAAAGAAGCCAGAACGAAGTAGGTACTACAATGAGGATGACCTCCAGGTATGGAATTATATGTATATATTTTTAAATAAATAAATTTGGCCTTCTAATTATGAAGGGGTGACCAATAGGTCAACCAGAATGTGCCCTTGACAAAAACATGTTAGGTAATAAAACTAATCACATTAAATTAAGACATAACATGACAGATAACCTCCGGTTTGATAATAACTTCTTACCCAGCATTTTCGCATCCTTTTTTTTTTTTTAAATCTGTTTATTTTTTGTTTTGAAAAGTCATTCCTTACTTGAAAAATAGGTGATTCTATTTACGTCAAAAAAATAATTAAATATCTCTAATTAAAATTTTAAAATTTTAATCTCTATTATTTCTTAATGTAAATTTACTAATAAAGATAACATATATTAAATTTTAAAATAAAGATAACATATATTAAATTTTAAAATAAAGATAACATATATTAAATTTTAAAATAAAGATAACATATATTAAATTTTAAAATAAAGATAACATATATTAAATTTTAAAATAAAGATTTCTTAATGTAAATTTACTAATAAAGATAACATATATTAAATTTTAAAATAAAGATAACATATATTAAATTTTTCCCATGGTACACCCTACTTATATATGCATGTTTCATCTTCTTCTCCAAGTTTTAATTATTTTCTCTTCTTCTTCTTCTTCTCCCTCACACCAAATCTCCAAACCATTTTACCAAAACTTACTATTATCAATATCATTGTTTCCTATCCTTGCGAATAAAAAAACGTTTGAACAAAATCAAATAATATATGAGAATAATAATGAAAACTGTTTTTTGAAACAACTCATCAAAAGGAGGTAAGTATTCACATTTGCATTTTTTTCTTAAAAATGAATATTCAGCTGGTTTAACGTCATTATTGTTCGGACTTTTAAATCCGAACAAATTCACTTTGTTCGGATCTAAAAGTCCAAACCAAACAATATTGTTTGGCATTGTAAGTCCGAACATAGTGATTTTGTTCTGATTTAGAGGTACCTTGAAGGTAATTTGAGAAAAATTATAGAATATATTGAGAGTAACATATAAAGCTCTAAATAATTGAACAGATTATACTGAAAATTTGGGAATACTAAATAATCTTCCAAAAAATACCACTTCACACATACCTAAAAGACAGGGAAAAAAAAACAGACAAACAAACAAACAAACAAACAAACCACATAAAAATGGGCCAATTCATCGATCTATTGGATTACCCATGGGGCATTTTGTTAATTCAAATTATTTATTTTTAAATATTTGTCAAGCAAATTAGTTGTATAATTAGATTAAATTTGTTTTACAATAAAATCATTGTCAATCTATTATTAAAATTATATTTATTGTATGCTTTTAAAATCTAGATGCAATCCGACTATATAGATACAAATGTTTGATTAATATTATTTTTTATATGAATGATCTATTCAAAAGATATTAAGAAATGAACCATTCAAATTACTAAAATGGACGGGAGTAGGCTAATGCCCCTTTAACTGGTCCCTCGAATCGAATTGCTAGACTGGAGTAAAGGTATTGGTCCCAAAATAAAAGCGAAGAAAGAAACAGGACTTAGAATGTACTATTCCAGCTTGCTCAATGAGGTGCATTATGTACTCTACTTTGATAAGTTATTTCGTTAATTTTTTAAGCTTCAGCGTGTAAATCATTAATAATTTTTTTGAAAAACTTGATTCAACAATTATAGATCACTTGATTTTATTAAAAAATTAAATTGGCTACTTTTGAAATAATTACTTGCCATCTATTTTTTATTTAAAAAAAAAAACCAGCATAATAAATTACAGAGAGATGTTATCAAATTAATATAAATCTACCTATAGAAACCCAAAAAAATTAAACACAACAAATAATCGAAATGAAATCCAAGGCCATGGGTCAAACCTAACTATTGAATTCACATTGGTAGACTGATTAATCAAATTTGATCAAACAAAAACCCAAGAAACACAAGAAGGTTGGGATGTGGGGATCACATCTTTATTAATGGTATTATCTACACGGCCTATTTTGAGAAGTAAATTAAAAAATCATTTTTTTAATATATTTTTTAGCTTTTATTGAAAAAACATATCCAAAAAAATAAAATAAAAGATAATGTGACTCAAAAAAGTCAAAAAAATGACTTTTAACCGCCTTTTCAAAATAAACCTATATATATCTAAGTGTTTTTCTTTTTCTTTTTTCTTTTGGCAAAGTAAAGAATGGAAGAGCACAATCAAGACGTGACATATATTTTTGTCCTCATCATACAATTTCTAAAGAAGAAAATGATGTTGGATTGGTGGAGTGGCTTTAATCCGCTGTTGGATTAGTGGAGTGGCTTTAAGATTTAAGAAAATGTTAAGTGTATGTGGGAAGTCTTGTCATATGTGGTTACGTGGTTTGTGTGGAAGGCCAGGAATGAAATTGATCGGCATAGCCCAAATAATTGGCCCAATGGGTTATTCAAACAATTCTTAACCCAACTTAGGCCTAGGGACCAGACAAGAAGAAGAGACAAGCAACCTCCTTATGTGAAGTTCACGGCATGACAACACTACCATAGACTTACGGCTGATAGGACAGGTTGACTGATAGGGCACGGTAAGCGAAGAGGGCAAAAAGGTATGAAAGAAATCAATGTATACAAGTAATCACTCTCTCTCTCTCTAAGGACCTTCTACTTCCTCTCTAAGCAAAAAACTTCCTTTTTTTCTACTAGAGACTGCTCTAACTTAAACATCGGAGGGTCCTCAAGAAGGAACCCCACCTCCGGGGTCCTTTTCGACGGACTTGGTGCAGGTACAACTGGGAAGACGATGTTCAATCATCCTGTGGAGCATCCGGACCCTGTCCGACCCATTCCTCATCCGACAAAACTACATTATCAAAAATCAAGTTTGTTAGATCAGTGGTTAACTGGTGTGAAATTTGCGAGTCTATTAAGTTGCACATGGCACTTTTGGTGAAGTACCATATCAGGGGGGTGGATTTTTCAGTCAATAATTTGCTTTATAATTTGAAGTCTATCTGGGAGCTATGAGAAGTGGTTGTTTATTGTCTTTGCTTTGGTTTTTTTTCTTTCTGTTGTTTGGTTCCTTTGTTTTGGTCTCTGTCTGTTGTGGGTTTACTGGTTGAGTTCTTCTCAACTAACTTTTTGCAAGTGTAAGCATATGATTGGGTAGCTTTTCTCGTGTCAACTTAGTTAGGATAAGTAAGGGTCACTATGATACTATTCTGTTTTTGTCTATCTTTATTGATATAAGATGTAAAAGATTTAAGTTTATTTTTGTTGATCCAAAAAAAAACAAAAAAGGAGAAAACGTTTCACTAAAACAATTCAAAATAATTATAGCACTTATTAAGAAGAACCCCAAATTTACCCTGTCCCTTATGCACATAGTTTTGTATGGAGAAGCCCTTTGCTATTCTACTCATATTTGCTAACCATCACTTCCCCTGTATTTAATATTAGTAATGTTATGGACTAATAAGTTAAATGAAAAAATAAAATAAAATAAAATTTTAAAAAATAATGTGTAGTTTAAATTTATTCTAAGTGTGAATTCTACAATATAAGAGTTAAATTGGAATAAACACAAATTTTTCATGAGTATTTTTATGTTTAAGTTTTTCATTGCTAGAATTATTATTTAATCTTTAATTTTCTTATGCCAAAATTAATGCCCTGAGTTCCAAAAAAATGACCATTTTTTGTTCTTTCTATACTAGTTTTTTGGTATTTTCTTCCTCTTCATTTGTTTGCTAAAGTTTTGAATTGAATGTTTTTGTACATTAAAAAAAGGACCAAAAAAAATATGTGACAATTACTCATTTGAAAACACAAAAGAGTGCAAGTGGGAAAGGGAATACAGGAAAGTGTTTTTATTTTTATTTTGTTAATGACTTAGGCTGTCATTTAAAATTGGAATAATTTAATTCAAATTAAAAAAAAAATTGAACAAAATTGATAAAATTAAAAATCTTAAATTTTATTCTTATTATTATTATTATTTCGTTTCTAATTTATGTAATAGTCTAAAATTATATCAATTTGACTTAACTGAAAACTTGAAGGATAAAGTTAACAAAATAGAAACGTAAATGACCAAAATGACACTGAATGAATTTTTTACAAACCGTATGTGTAATTTATATTTTCCAGTCTTGTAAATAATTATCATAATACATGCTAGTAAATATTAGTTGATATGTACAAGCAAAGCATACGTATATCGTGTTTGCGTACGAGTAATATAAAAAGAGAGAAAGAGAGAGCGATTTGATACCAATAAACCGAAAGCGAACAGTTGGATGCCGTTGTTGCCGAGAGAAGCAGCAGCGAGTTCAAGGTTGCCGAGGTGGCCGGAGAAGATCTGGGTGGAGGTTGACATGCCGAAGCTCACCAGATATACAAAAATCGCCGGAGCAGCGAGTTTAAACAGTAGCTTTAATTCTATCCAAGTAGCGCTTTGAAGGCGGTGAAACAGCGGTACCTCTTTGTGGGACAATATAGTTTCAAGTTTGCTAGTCAACTCCATGTGTTTGTCCGATGATTGAGGTGATAAAGGTGGTGCTGATTCAGATTGCAGCGAAGGTGGGTCGAGATCGTTCTGCTTCGATCCCATCTTGGCTGTCCAACAACAGTCGGTAAGTACGGTGGTTGCGGTATAAAGTCAGTGTTGGTGGTGGTGGTGGTGGAGGAGGAGGATATGAACGGATACTTGGGACGACAAACAGTTAGAAGAAGTTACGTCGTTGGAATAAATACTGAACCATAGTAGTGGATTTAATCAATTATTATTATTATTATTTTAATAATACTACATTGACTGAAGGCTGACTGCCCAATTCGGTCCAAATCTCGACTATCCAGACCGATCTTTGTGTAAGGGTTTTTTTTTGTTTTTGGACACAACTTTTAATTTTAGTCGAAAGTGATTATAAATTGTTATATTATTCTTTTTATTTTTTTATACATATTTTTATAAAAAAATCAAAAGTTAGTATTTATAAATACTTGATTAGAATACATAATTTGCAAATAATATAAATTTTAAAATAGTTCGTCTATTTTGTTTCGAATAAATATGATTTGAGACTACTAATATACGATCAAACTAATTTTCATATGAATGATCATTTTAAGTATATACTTTACAGAATAATAAGTTTGAATTATTGAGATGAATTTAAAATAGACCGGAACTGGACTATTCAATTCCAATCTCTATAATAAAAATGTTTATTATCCCATTTATCATATTGTTGCATTAATTTAAAATGTCTTATTATTTGTATTTATTACTAATATAGTGGTGATAGTTTATACAACATAAATATAAGGGGTATACAATATGTATTTGTGTAAATTCTCATAAATATATATAAATTATTTCATAAAACTATGTAAATTTTCACAAATATACATAAGTTATGATTTTTAAATTTATATGGGTTAACTTACGTATATTTGTGAAAATTTAAGCAATTTTGTAAGATAACTTACATATATTTATGAAAACTTATATAAATATATATTATATGCATCTTACACACCTAAACACTTTCCGTTGAAGAATCAATGCGAGCTCAAACTAGAAAAAAGTGAAGCATTTTCTATTTTTACTTTTTGACAAATGGAATAATCAAAAGGCTTAGTGAGATATAAAAGATATTGTGATTGGATTTTCAGTTCTACTCCTATTTCAAACTACATCTCTATTATAGGAAGACCTTTGTCTAATTTTTTTTTTTTTAAATTTTAATTCCAAGCACCTGTTTATTACACAATGAATCTCTCTAAGTTGATCTTGTTATAGAGGGATGTTGGAATAGAAGATAAGGGAGAGATGGAGTGACAATCCCGCGAAAGACGATAAATAATTGGTGCTCTAAAAGTTAATGATCTCAACTAATATTGTGAAGTTTTTTTTTTCTTTTCTTTTCTTTTTTTTTTTCTTAGAAAATGTAAATTCACATCATTTACATCCAAAAAAGTGTGTATCCACATGCACAGATACATATATATATATATATATATATAGGAATCACACATTTTCTTTCTTCACAAATGTGTGTTTAGGTGTATAAATAAATATCATTGTAACATTTTCATACTTTTTATTTGTATTTTACATTTATTTTTTTTTAATGAATAAACACATGGTCGAGCCTTTAAAAGGATTGCTCACACGTGGATGGATTTGTGAATAAAATAAAACATAAATTTTTTTCACAAATTTTTTTTTTTTAAATTTTTCCCCCATTAATTTTTCTATAAATTTAAAATTTAAATAAAATCTTTAAATTTCTCATCTATCATTACATCAAATATCTAGTAACACTGAAGTCTTTTTTGGGGGGATATGTATACAGCCAAACATATGAGTGTGAGATTCATATCCATATATATAGGACAATGTTTGGAATCTCCTATGGGGATGACCCCCACACCCTCAAAGTAATTTTGGCCCTCCATGTATGTGTGGGATTCACTCATATATGTGTGAAGTCCACATCATGAGTGATTCAGATTTGTGAGGGTCTTGTGGATGTTTTGTGTGGGTGGGATCTCAATTATTGCTCTATATATATATATATATATATTTATTGGGGGTGTAAATAAGCATATTGTGGAGCCTTTGAAAGGGATTGCTGGTACGTGGAAATTCCACGGTGGAATACCATTTTGGCATAGACATTCTTAAGAGTTCTGCGTGGATTTCCATTTAGTAGTCACATAAAATAATGTGGGTGGTCCTCGTGTGCCGCATAATAACCATTAGCTTAGAAAAGAAACTTGTTTAATTCTCATAAATTATATCTATAATTATATATTATATGTGTTAATTTTTTATTTATTATATACTCAATAAAATGAAATCTAACTCTCTTATCACCTTATTATAGGTGAAAGTGTGGTAAATAACATTGTGCGCTTAGAAAAATAGAAACCAAAGATTATTAGTGCCCAATATTAAATAAATAAATAAATAAAAAGGTAAATTACACTAACACCTCTTGAGATTTCTGTTTAATACAGATTTTTTTTTCACCTTTGAAAAATTACATTCTCTCCCCTACGGTTTGTAATCTCATTACAAATTATGCCTCCTGAATTACTAATGTCATGCCCTAAAATTTTTTAAATGACCATTTTGTCCTTTTTCCTACCATTTCTTCTTCCTATCGTTACGATTACATTCTATAACTTTTCATCATTAAATTCTTCTTAAACATATTCTTATTGAGTGATGAAATACAACCATAAATTTTATATAAAATTTTTAAATACAATAACATAGTTCAATGGTGACCTTTTACTTTAAAACAAAATATCCATAAATATGATTTATATTTACAACAATATCATTATCACAATATTTTTATGATATTTTTGTATAAATTTTTATATATGAATAGAATTTTTATTTTTATTTCCACCATCATTTTTCTTTCTCGTCTATTCACCCACATTTATTACAGTATTTCCAAATATCCTCATTCACATTTATTATAGTATTACTGAATTTTTGTATCATTATATTTAGTGAATTTTAAATTTAAAAAAAATAAAAAAATATTATACTTCTTAAGTATATGTAGATTAGGTGTATCTAAAAAATAAAATAAAATAAATTACTTAAAATATTTTAAAAAATTCAATAAAAATATTAAAAAAATGAAAAAAAAATTTAATTTTTTGTGTGAGCTAAACCAAAAAAAAAAATTATTGTTATTTCTCTTGAAATGACATGAACAAAATATCAGTATTATTTTATTATTTTATATGTATAAAAGCTAAGGAACAATCTAACAGGAAGGTAAGTGTAATTTTTCAAATGTGAAGGGAGAATCACTACTAAAGAAACGGTCTTTTGAGTCGGTATTTTGAGTCGGCAAATTTTACAGTCGCAAAAGTTAGTCTTTTTGAGACGGCACAGAATTACCGACGCAAATACCAACACTTTAGCGTCGGCACCGTTGGCCGACACAAAAAATTAAAACATGATTTATATTTATAACATTGCTATCACAATATTTTTATGATATTTTTGTATAAATTTTTATATATGAATAGAATTTTTATTTTTATTTCTACCATCATTTTTCTTTCTCGTCTATTCACCCACATTTATTACAGTATTTCCAAATATCCTCATTCACATTTATTATAGTATTACTGAATTTTTGTATCATTATATTTAGTGAATTTTAAATTTAAAAAAAATACAAAATATTATACTTCTTAAGTATATGTAGATTAGGTGTATCTAAAAAATAAAATAAAATAAATTACTTAAAATATTTTTAAAAATTCAATAAAAATATTAAAAAATGAAAAAATAAAAAAATTAATTTTTTGTGTGAGCTAAACAAAAAAAAAAATGATTGTTATTTCTCTTGAAATGACATGAACAAAATATCAGTATCATTTTATTATTTTATATGTATAAAAGCTAAGGAACAATCTAACAGGAAGGTAAGTGTAATTTTTCAAATGTGAAGGGAGAATCTGTATTAAACAAAAATTTCATGGGATTTCAATGTAATTTCCCCAAAATAAAACCATATAGCACAGTGGAAATCAACCTAGATGTTGAAAAAATTTAGATTGAATTCAAAAAAAATCTTGAATTTGGCGACAGTTGGTTTTTTGGAAGGGATCAGGTAAATGAGAAGATTACCTCCATCGATTTTGAGACGTTTAAAATTTTTAATGAGAGCAAGATTTTCGTATCTTAATTGTTAGTGGCTAAAAATTTATATTAAGACGTTTACATTCTTAATAATTTCTTGTACAAATTTTATTAATGCAAAACAAATGAGTAGATATGAAATACATCATGAGAAATATTAACAAAAAAAGGGAAGGAAAATTCCATTAGAACTGGAAGAAGCACATAATCCCAACTATATGTTGGCATATACCCCAGCAAATCATGTGTGAAACCCTATGAAGTATGAAGTATGGATATTTTGAAAGACATGTCGTACTCATATCGGGTACTTATCATGTATGGCACCTCGTATGATACTTCTGGATAAGTATCGGGTAAAACACGTACCCAAAAATTTTTTTCTTAATTTTTGAAGTACCCAGATGTACCTACTATATATCCAAGCGATACCGTACCTCAGCTGAAACAATAAAACTCTTTTCACAAGACTTCTTTTTTATTTTTAGTTTTATGCTTAGCATGTTTTTAAAATTAAACTATGGTTTGTAAGTTATTTAATATATTGACATTTAATTTTGATTTATACCTTTACTTTTGGCATTAAATGTTAATTGTAGGTTGAATCTTAACAAATTAAATCATTTAATTAATTTTTGCATTACTCTAAATTAAAAATAAATATTTTTTTACAAACGTACCAAACCGTGTACCTTACTTTTTTGGATTTTATCAACGTACTCATATCGTACCCATATTAATACCAGTACCAGTACTCGTACTCGTACCCGTACCCGTGCTTCATAGGTGAAACCAAAGGTGAGAAAGCAAAGAATTACTATTTGGCATTGGTTTTTTGGCTAAAAAAATATAAAAGACAAAATAGGCTAAATAAATCAATAAAACAAAATGGCACATTCAAACCATAATTATTTCACTTTTTTTCTCATAAAAATCAAAAAAGTCAAATCAAACAAATTGTTCCAAGTTAAAATAGCTAAAAAGCTAACTAAAAAAGCTAATTGTCAAACGACAACTTAACTAATTAACTAAAAACACCTTATAACAAAGAGATG